CAAAATCAAGTATGTAAGCTTGTTTAAAGCTAAACAAAAAAGAGATTCTACTGTCTCTATTCCAGCAATGGAACAAACGAGTAATGTAACAAGCCTAGCTTGTGAACAAAAAGAGGAAATTTCATCTCCTCCAGATCTTATAGATCTTGAAGGTGAAACTAGTCCAGAGCAAACGGCTACTAGTAAAGACTTATCAAATCCGTTAATAGCTAGCAACTTGCTAAAAGCGGCAATAGGTATTAAATTACCAACAACGTCGGATAATTTTGAGGGTTTAAACCTCAGACCGAACGGTGGAACCTCTGTTCCTAAACAGATAAAATCACTGGACAGTGATAAGGGAATTCAAATCCCAAATAAAAAAGACACAACATATTATGTCGTGTTCAATGGTCCAAATGCAAGTATTTATCAAGACTGGGAGATTACCAAAAAGGCTACAAGTGGTATTTCTGGTGTTTCACACAAGAAATACAAAAGTTTCTTTGAGGCTCGTATTGCAGCAGATCAGTACTCGAGAATAAATGCAATAGCTCCCCTTGAGCTAATTTGCACAGCAGATGGACTTCAGCCCAACACATTTACTGCGGCCTTAAAAAAGCCCAGAAAACAAGAAAGGCTCAAGACTCTTGGAAAAATTCCCAAGAAACAAGAAGCCCAACAAGAAGAACAGGTCACTCCGATCCAACTTCCAAAAGAAGGTCTTGAATATTGGATCAACTTGGCCCGAAACAGCGGTGAAGCGGAAATCCTTACGGACAAATACTTCACGACAAATGGGAGGGATTTGAGATTTTTCAATTTCATAAAAAATGCAAATCCAGAAATGGTAATCGAGGCGTTTGAATACGGGATGGTAAAAACCATATATCCCAGCCAGACTTTGAAGGAACTACAGGAATTACCTCAAAATGTTCTTAAGTCAATCAAGCAATACAGGAAAAAATGTGTTCACGGGGAAAAAGACATATTCCTAAAAATCACTAGTTCAGTACCCATCTGGATTAATAATAAAATTATCCCGACCAAACATCTTATAATGATAGGGATTAGTTCTGGTGAAAAATTCATTAAGCCAGAAAATAAACAGTTCAAAGAGGTAAATCTGGATCAAATTGGACTAAGTCGTTATGAACTTCTCGTCGAAAAAGTCATGGAATTCAACACAGATGATAAAGTGTTCGTCAATTATCAAGATGGAAATTATTTGATGTATTCAAAGGCACTAAAACCAATGACAAGTGATGATGAGAAGAAGATAATTGTATTCCGGAAAAACCTTTTGCAAGGTTATCATCATCCAAAAATCCGTGACAAGATCAAGAAGATAAGAGAAGCACGAGGAAGTATTTACAGCTGTCCAAGTTGTCTCTCAACATCTAGAGTGGAACCTACCATTCTGAAAAATAATGAAGATTCCCCAACAATGTCTACTTCAGCCAGCTCAAAAGAAGAAGATAATGGAGTAGGTCCGGAAAAGCAATAAGAGCAGAACGTGCTAAATTCGATTCCACGTCAGGAATGACGTAAAACATTTTGTATCGATCCTCATTCCTTAGTGTATAAAAGGATGAGTTACATTTTCAAGAGGGGACATGAGAAAATTAGTCCAGAGTCGAGTTTGAAGTTCTTTCTGTAAAATTTTCTTTTTTCTAATATCTATGTGTGAGTAGTGAAAGGTTCCTTCTTAGGAACTTGAGATTGTAATTAGAGGCTTGAATGAATAATTAATATTCATATCAGGGCTCTTGTAAAATGTTTGAAGTTTGAATAAAATATCCAGTTTGTTTGAACTTGTGCTAAAGATCTTATCCTGGAGGCCGATTTGCTAATCAGAGGGAATAGTACCAGAAGGGAAAACAGTATCTGTGGCGCAGGCTTGGAGTCGATCATCCAGACACAAAGATTCAAAATCAAACACAGAGGTAAACATTTATCCAAACTATAAAACATTTTATAAGAAGTTCCTTTGAATATAGTGGTTATATCTTAAATAGCTCTCTGAGAAGCAGTCTAAAGTTTCTAGGAAAGGAATTTTAATTTATTTAGAAAGGAATTTCAAGAATCAAAAGGTTTTCAAAACCATAAATTAGATTAAATCTTTTAATAAAACAATTTCTTTGAATAAGAAATTATGAATTTTTTACAATGGTATGATTTTTGGCATTTGCCAATGAAAATGCTTTATAAGGAACGAAACGCTTTGAGATATCAGCGTAAACAATTAAGAAATCTTCATACTTTGCTGGAAGTTTATCAACGAAGACTTGAAGCTATACAACTTGAGAAAGAACTAGAGTATAACAGGGCATTACCTGAGGATAAAATGAGTATCCTAAAATCTTATGGTTTCAGACTAAATGGTCTATATGGGTTAGCTACTTCTACCAAGAAGTCAATTAAGAAAGCAGAAAAACAAGCATCTCTTTTGGGAGCTGCCTAAATTCATTGATTTTTTAAGTAACTTGCTATGGAAAACAATAATTTATGGCATATGCCAGTAAGAGTAGTGTTTTCAGATATAAATTGTCTTAAAACACTAAGAAAACAAATAATTCGGTTAACATCCGATTTGAATGAAGAGGAACAAAGATTGAATGATTATATTCAAACTTATGTTTCTGCATCTATAGAAATAAAACTAGCAACTACAAGAAGCTATGTTGATAATGTCAATAGAATGGTCTCGGTCATTCTCGCATTAAAAGAGTCTATTAAGAAGGCAGAACAACAAAGCTCACTTCTTATGAATTGAAATGAATTGTTTTAATATCCTGTATAAATTTCGCACGGGAATCAACCCGTTTAAAAATCTTGGTATCAGAGCCTGGTATCAAAGAAAAAACTTGTTTGGATTATGAGTTTCAATACAGATAATGAAAACAAAAATATAGAACAAGATCTATGTTCTATTAGTGATCTTTCACAAATTTCATTTAATGAAAATGAAAAAGGTTTTAAAGCCAGTTTGGCAATAAACATGATGTATTAACTAAGATTCAAAAATCAAAGTTAAATCTTAAAAAAGAAGAAGTTTTTAACATCCCAATGTTAAATTTCTTCAAAAGAGAAAATGAAATTTTCTATTTTGTCAATACGCAAGAATTGCATGTAGACATAAGAGATGTTAAAGGAACTGTATACCTGCCTTTAATTACTAAAGCAGAAATACGAAAAAATCTAGAGAAAATTCCATCTCTTATAAGAAATAAAATTTCAACAATTCACCTAGGAGCAATAAAAATTTTGCTTAAAGCTGAATTTCAAGAAGTGATTGATACCCCTATAAAAATGGCATTAATCGATAATAGAATTAATGACAGAAAAGACTGTATCTTAGGAGCAGCAAGAGGAAACCTTGCTTATGGTAAGTTTATCTTTACAGTTTATCCTAAATTTGGTATGTCTATTCAAACTGCAAATTTAGATAGAACTTTGTCTTTCATTCACCACTTTGAAAGAGAAAATTTAATGAACCCTGGAGACAAAGTCTTTAGTGTCACATATGTTATAAGCTATGCTTTGAGTAATAGTCATCATAGTATAGATTACAGGAAAAAATCTTACATTGAACTAGAAGATATCTTTTCGGATATCGGTTCAGTAGAAGAAAAAACATTCTGTGAGTTAGCACCTCTAGAAGAACACTGGGCTATTGATATAGCTAAAGGAAAAACCTTAATAGGAAATAAAAATCCTGTGCATATTAAAGAAAATTCTTTAATTATAGGAGAATCAAGTAGATTATCAGTTTCAGAGAAACGTTCTCTAGCTGATATGTCAGATAGAATAGATAATTTATTCGGAATGTTAAGACAATTAACGTCGGGATAAAAATCATAACAAACAGCGCAAGAACACTCGCTATTTACAAGGGTGTTTTGGACATTCTATTTGTTACACTTTATTCAAAAGTAAAAAAGATAATAAATTAAGGTCAAAACAAATCTTAACCGTTAATTTATGATCATCTCAACCGTACATCTCAAGTTGTCAACCAAGTTGTCAACACGGTTGTTCACATAGCATTACTCTAAATCTCCACAGCAAAAATCATTATGAGTCAAAATCTCACGCCCAGGGGCGGAGCCAGGGGTGGCTCACCCGGGCTCCAGCCCAGTCTTAATTTTTTATCTAATATAAATATGTAGTAGTAAAAAAAAAATATTTTAACTCATGTTTTATTAATTTAATTCATGATATAATTATTTAGTCTGTATTCATTTAAAATAATTGATATTAAACCAAAATCTTATACATATTTTTGGACATGACTCAAACTTTTCATATGTATTTTTATGTGGTTATAGTTTACTTTGTCATTTTTTCTTCTTTTTTTTTTATTTTTTAATATTTGATTTAATACACGATTAATTTATATTATTTATATTAGTTTATATGTGAAATACATCAACTTGTTAACTTTTAAATAAATTATATTTGAATATGCGAAATAGATAATTTAAATTCATTAATTTGCATAGCAGATCAATGAAACGACATTTGGAATTCCACAATTTAAGCGAAATATCATTGAAGCCAAAGTGAGTCAAGTACATCGTGTTCGAACTTGTGTTCGTCTAATAAATGAACATGTTTGGCTCGAAACTTTTAATAAATTGAGTGTAATCAACTAAGCTCCGCTCGTTTGAACTAAGTTTTCATTTTATGTTTTATTATATGAATATCAGATTGATTTTTTATGAGTCGTACTGAGTTATACTCCCTAACAAATCGGTTCTAACAGCGCCAAATCGGTTCTAACAGCGCCAGGGTAAAAAATATTTCTGACTACGCCCCTGCTCACGCCTACCTTGTTTTCTTTTTAATTGTTTTATTTAATTGTCATTCATGAAAACCGGCTTTTATTGGGGTTTTTTTTAACCCGCTTTTATTGGTTAACCGCCCAATACTCCCATATATACATTCACCCATGGAGCGTTCGATATAAAAGCGAAAAAAAAAACCCCCCAAAAAAAAAGAGAGATAAAAAAGAAAACATGGGAGGCGGTGATACTGTTTCGTATGGAGAATGCCTGAAACTGCATTCGGCTCTTGAAAATAAAGCCGATGGCCGCCAGGAGTTCATCCCGGTGGGCGGAGATTACCCGATGGACTGTACCGCCTGCGGCTGCCACCGGAAGGTTATCTGGCGCGTGTTGCACACGGTGTGCCAGAAGAACCACAACCCAATGGGTCCTGAGTCCAAGGACGGCTGCCAGGAGTTTAAGTCTTTCCCCGGAAACCACCACCTGCAGGTCGAAGCCTGCGCTGCTTGCGGCTGCCACGTCAGCTTTCACATGAAAGAGAAGAAGAGAAAACCAAAATAATTGGTAGTAAGTGACGAAGAAGAAAATGAAGAAGAGGATTCTGGTGAAAACATAACGGCGGTGAGTTTCGAAAATTTGTTGTTCTTTAAGTTTCTTTTATTGTTATACATTGTGAAGTTTTAACCGCATTGTTATACATTATGAAATTTTATTGTTATAATGTATTATATAAATTGCATTGTGTATTTTAGGCTTGGAAGAATTGATTTTATATAGAGAATATGGTATAAATGAAAAAGAAATTCATAAAGTAATATTATCTAAATATAGAATTAAACATAAATTATTATATTTATACTTAATTGGTTATTGACCGATTAATTAATTGACTGGATTTAGGTACTAATTTTGGTAATTAGGTTAGTCAAATATTAAAATGTATCGGATGGATTATATATTAAGATCAGTCATTACTGTAGTCTTCCAATATATACATTTGATTAGTAAATTTTCATAATTATTTTCAAATATTATATGTATAGATAGATAGATTATATAGTAAAATATGATAAAATAAAATAACTCAGATGAGAATGGTTTGACAAAAGTGCACTACTTGTCTTAATTCTTTGCTTGAAGACAGTACTATCTATCATTAGGAAAGCTAGGCAGCCTGATGCCATAAGTTAGAAAAAAATCCTAGCTCATTAGGACATAAAACTTGCGAGTGCTCAAAGCATTAAGCATTTTCAGCAAGGAATAGGATTATAATTTTTGGGAATAATTTTAACAAATTTTTTCATCGTGAAGGATGATCCTATTGATAACAGGATATTAGACTTATTAATCCAAATTAGGTGGTCTCCAGAAGGTCACCTCAATGGAAACCTAATTCGATTCGATGACAGAGACATTTGGAGGGAGATGGCAAGAATATTAAATTAAGAGTCGGACATTACGATCGAGGATTATCAAGTCTATGGCAGAGCTAAATCCCTGAGGACACGGTTTAGATGCAGAGTAAGTTCATGCTGTAATGCTTGCACATTAATTGTTGGATAATTATTTCAAGATTATTGAGTTCAAAATTTTTATTTCATTTTATTGGTTGGAATATGAGATTTATTGTTTGTGTTTGAATTTTAAGATTATACTTATCAGCAAACAATCAAAATTACAAAATTTAGAGTGTATAAAACATGGCTTTAGGGTTATGCAGATATAAAATAGGTGCAGATATAAAACATGGCTTTAGGGTTATACACTCTAAATTTTGTAATTTTGAATGTTTGCTCATAAGCATAATCTTAAAATTCAAACACAAACAATGAATCTCATATTCCAACTAATAAAATAAAATAAATATTTTGAACTCAATAATCTTGAATTAATTATCCAACAATGTGCAAACATTACAGAAAGAACATACCCCGCATCTAAATCGTGTCCTCAGGGATTCAGCTCTGCCATAGACCTGATAATCTTCGATCGTAATGTCCGGCTCTTTATTTAATATTCTTGTCATCTCCCTCCAAATGTCTCTGTCATCGAATCGAATTAGGGTTCCATTGAGGTGACATTCTGGAGACCACCTAATTTGGATTAATAGGTCTAATATCCTGTCATCGATAGGATCATCTTTCACGATGAAAAAATTTGTTAAAATTATTCCGAAAATTATAATCCTATTCCTTGCTGGAAATGCTTAATGCTTTGGGCACTTGCAAGTTTTATGTTCTAATGAGCTAGAATTTTTTTTCTAACTTATGGCATGGCATCAGGCTGCATAGCTTTCCTAATGATAGATAGTACTGTTTTCAAGAAAAGAGTTAAGACAAGTAGTGTAGTTTTGCACTTTTGTCGAGCTATTCTCATCTCAATTATTTTATCATATTTTACTATACAATCTATCTATCTATACATATAATATTTAAAAATAATTATGAAAATTTACTAATCAAATGTATATATTGGAAGACTACAATAATGGCTGATCTTAATATATAATTCATCCGATACATTCTAATATTTGACTAACCTAATTACGAAAATTAGTACCTAAATCAAGTCAATTAATTAATCGGTCAATAACCAATTAAGCATAAATATAATAATTTATGTTTAATTCTATATTTAGACAATATTACTTCATGAATTTTTTTTCATTCATTCCCTATTTCCTATATAAAGATCAATTCTTCCAAGTCTAAAACACACAATGCAATTTACATAGTACATTATAACAATAAAACTTCACAATGTATAACAATGCGGTTGAAACTTCACAATGTATAACAATAAAAAAAACTTAATGAACAACAAATTTTCGAAACTCACCGCCATTATATTTTCACTAGAATCTTCTTCTTCCTCTTCTTCTCTTCGTGGCTTACTACCAATTATTTGGTTTCATTTTCTTCTCTCTGTCGCTTACTCCCAGGCCCCGAGTCCAAGCAGTGGCTGACACAGGATTTTTGATCAGCCAGGACAACATGAAATAAAAAAATACTTTTTTTTTTTAAGTTCACTTAAGTTTAAAGAAAAAAATAAAAATTATAACTTTTCATGGCGGGGGAAGGTAATTGTTCCACGGGCACGCAACATAACAAATGCCATAGCTACTATCTATGGACTAGACATAACTTAGCATTAAAAAAAAATGTAAAAAAATCGTTGGCTTTTCATTAGCAAGGCAAAACAACTTGAATATTTATTGATTCTGCAACAATTTGTAGACAAATAAACAACTGCACTTACCTATTATCTATGCGCTCGACATAAGTTAGCCTGACAAAACAAAATGGATTGACAGTCAGATGAAGATAACTAATTTGAATGCCAAAATTTGTAGGTTTTTCATTAGAAAGATAAAAGAAATTGAATATTTACTAGTTCTGCAAACAATCTGTACACAAACAAAACTACTACACTCTATCTGATTAAGAAGTAACAAAGGAGTTTAAAAGTTCAACATATCTATATTGTGAATGCTTAATACATTTCACACCAATAAATATAATCTGCAATGTCTCGTTACAGTGATCTCCGGCGCGAACATTGGCAT